AATATCGTTTTGTGCGTTATTGACTAATTGAAATAAATAAAAAATAAAATTTAAAGATTTATATGAAAAAATTTCTGTTTTGAATAATACATTACGATGTCTGAGGATGAATGGTAACAGATTCATTGGAAAAATTTGTTATCAATACTTTATGTTTATAAATTACACTTGTCCCAGATTCTGGAATAAAAGTAACTAATGTATTTATTAAAATATAAAAATCCTAGGAGATGAAATCGATATAGCTAAGTAAGTTATTAAAAAATGTTTATTGAATAGTTTCAGTCATGAGAACAATGATTAATCAAGTTAAACTTTATATATCAGGTAACTAATTGTCTTACAATCTTTGCCTATAAGAGAATTTTCTATTTCTAATTAAGATTATCATATTATTATCTACCTTATATAAAAACAGTTGATTAAGTTTCATAAGCAATGAAGTTATGTCAACTTTCTTTTTTTTTGAGAACTGAGTTTTCAGATATTTTATAGGAAATGGTCCATTTATACGAGCTATTTTAATTAGAGACAAGTCTTTAGCAGTAAGAAACTGATAAAAATATAAACCTTATCATCAAGTTTATTCATATTTATGTAGAATTCATGCTTACTGATAAATACATTAGAAGTTTTTCATTGATTTTCAAATAAAATATGTACACTGTTGATGTTATGATGCGAAGCAACACTTGTCAATAAGGAACTCGTTTTGAATAATAAAACAATGAATATCAGTGTCCGACACGGGTCACTTTTTTTGTGACCCGACCCGACCCGAGCTCAGAAAAATTAGACCCGCCCCGGCCCGACCCGAGCTCAAAAATTTTTTTGCGTAACCCGACCCGACCCGACCCGAGGTGAGGAATAGCTTTTGGCCAATAAAAGTGAGTTTTTTTTCAGACATTGACAATTTTCTCAGTAAATCGATACATATTCTATAGGTATTCGAAATAAAGAAATGGTTATCTCATCTAAAATTGCTGCTTTTCTTATGTGAAGTTCGGAATTCGTAAAACTTTTGTGACCCGACCCGAGCTCAAAAATGTTTTTCGTAACCCGACCCGAGCATGATGTGACCCGGCCCGACCTGACCCGAGGTCAAGTATGTTTTTCGTGACCCGACCTGACCCGACTCGTGTCGGACACTGATGGATATATTCATATTTTTTGAAAGGTAACTACATCAGCACTAATCCTCTTAATCTTTTTCTTAGAAGAAGGTTCCAAACATGCACAAAATATAGCAGCGAAAACGGGACCGATCAATTGACGACTTTTCCTTGTAAGGAAAAGACTTCAAGCCAACGTTCAATCATTGTACTTCCTAATGAATACTTTGTTACGATTGAAAAGTATTCCGATGCACCTAATTAATTATTTCTATTCTAAGAATATTTGTGTTACAAAGTGTTTCAAAATCTTATACTGTCCAACGAAAGAATAATCTATTAATTACAATGTCAATTTATAACTAAAAGTTGTATGACTAACAGAAATGTCCTTTTTTCTTAATATCATCAGTTCAGATTTCAGTTTCAAACATACAATTAAGTCCAACTTTTCCTTTTTTTTTTATTGGCCAGCTAATTTTGATGTTTTATTTCCGAATAACAAAATAAAAAGTATTCTAACTCTTGACTAATTTCAATGATCTAATCAATATTACATAATACTTCAGGAATATACAGTTCATTATTTTTATTTCAAATTTTTCATCGAAAGACTAAAGCTCAGTAAATGAAAGCAATCATTCATTTTATTGAATTGTATGCAACCTAACATCATCCGTAGTCAATACAACTAGCTTATTTATGTCGAACAGAATAGCACGGTAGGGTTTTGGATGATATTTAATGGTTTTCTTTAGTTTTCCGTCGTTTGTAACCTGAAGCAAGCGTCCAGTCTCATAGTCAAAAATGAGCCATTCATTACAAGTCAGTAAACAACAACGAAATGCTAGATTTTGGATGCACCTAATATCAAGTTTAAGTATCCAGATACGATCAAGCGTCTTTGCATATCTCAATTCAATGCGCACCGATTTCTTGGATTCGCTGATAACTATTAGAGATAGATTTTCGTCATTGTAAACAATATCAGTGATAGCTTCATCTTTGGCACATGTAAAAGGATATTTCCATTCTTTAATCAATTCGATTGCTGGAAGTAGTTTGAATTTCATAATAGATGAACCCCATTCATTTGTACTTGCAAAGAGAACTGTATCAGAACATGTACACGATAGCCAGAGTCGTTCTTCACTTGTCTGCATATTATCAATTGACATTGTATTTTCGTTAATAAGATAGATATGATTTATTCCAAGCACAATGAATCGATCTAATGTTGATGACCAACACATGTCGTTGATTTTACCGTAAGACCATAACATTTGTTTGACTATGTTCATTTCTCTATCAAATAAACATAAATTTGGATATTGATGTACCAATAAGTATCGATCATTTCCAGTTAGCAATCGAGAACTTTCCTCTGGACGATGAATTGTTTTGTAGACAGGTGAAAGAGTTGATAGATCAAGTTCATGTTCAGTCACTTTTTCTATAGAAATCAATGTGTCATCTATTATTAATGGACGAGTATTGATTGTAAAACATGTTTGTTCAATTTTGTTCATATTTCTTTCCAGTCGACGAATGGTGAATGTCAATAAATCAATATCCTGACGAGTTGTTTCTTGTGCATTGATAAGTTCAGTTATTTTCAAATTTATTCGATTGAGTTCTTCTCGCTGCTGGCCAACTTTTTCATTAACAAGTTGATCAAGTTCTTGACATTTTTCTTCAAAAAAACAGTCAATCTTATTATGGCAATCTTCACGCCATTGTTCAAGTTTTTCACGACTATCCCCAATTGTTTTTTGAATATTTAGTGTTTTGAGACGATCACCAAGTGCATTAACTTCATCAGTTAAAGGATTGAGTTGAGAAACGAGCGAGGCATTGTGTTCAATTAAATGTTGTAAACAAAGATTTTGTTGACAACAATCACACAGACCACGTGATATACGAATACATTTGTTTATCGAACATGATTGAGACATTTGATGAAAATAATACAATTTTGATGTTATAGGGATAGATGCAGTAGGAGGAGAAAATGAAATTTGATCTTATTTCTCAATGAGAAAATGTTTGTTTGCTGAAGGAACGAAAAATGATTATTTTTGCATTTGTATAACAAGAGTTAAGGTTTTTCTTCCAAATTTAAATTCAATAAACAGATGTCGTAAGAATAATAACTTGACAAGAATAACTATGAATAGTTCAGCTGAAGGTGATTGTGGGCCCAAAAACAGGATATTTACTTTTTTTTAAAGTATGGTAGAAAGAGAAAAATCTGTTTTCATTATGTGTAACACTGTAGACTTTGTGTGTATGTCGTATCGAAGTTATATCGGTCGGTGAAGTCATAATTTCGAGAAAAAAAATTGTAGTAGTCACGTTAAATCGTCTAAATCAGATAATTATATTATTTGAACAGTTCTCACAATATATATTTTATGCTAGAAAGCTTGTTTTTCTTGCTGCAAACGTCAGTTTTCATTTTGGTATAAAATATAAAACCGAAAATAAAGCACTTACATGCAAGACAGAACGAAGGCAAGATAGAGAATATCTCCCACACACTATGCTTTTCTTCTAATGCACTCAAAATATGTTCTATACTGCAAAAGATTCATCCTATTGTTTGGATACAAAAAATAAATTTAAAAAGTAAATCCTGATAATATCTCGCTAATGACGTTCCAAGATTGCAAGTTTCTCTTATTCATTAGTTAGAGAACTTAGAGTCCTCATCATAGATCTATAATTATACATACTATTAACAAAAAGTCATGTTTGATTTTTCTGAATAATTTCTTCTATGCTGAGTCATGGAAAGTGATACTAACGTTTTTAAAGTGAAAAATTAACTATAAATATATATTTGGTTGCAACTTAGTTGATAGCTTTTCCAGTTCTCTTCCCGACGATATATGATAAATTGTTGCCGTTCATTCGATGCATGACGAAAGAGAAGCACTGGCACAACGCATTTTGCAACTCCTACTGTGATTCTTCTGATAATTCCGTAAAAAAGTACGGTAAATTATTTTAAAAAGTAAAACGTTCCACAGGTCACGATATATTATGTATTAAAAAAGTATGTATTGAAATTGTAGAACTAGAAAAGATCGGTCTCGAAGTGGTTGCGTCGATCAAATTATCCATACAAGACTTTCAATGATGTTGGTAAATTCGCGAACAATGAATGCGATCTTAGTGAACGTAAAGCGGTACGACGATTTCGAGTAGACCAGTCAACAATTTCCGGTAACCTTTGAAGATGAACATCAGTTGTTATGAGAAAACGTTGAAAAACTCCAGAAATAAATAGTGAACAGCAACGAATTTGAGCACGAAAAAATTGTGATAAAGTATATCGAAAATTGTCAAATGGGTATAACAAATTTTCAAGTTCCAAGAACTTTCTTTTTGTCGTGTTTGGTTGTTGGCTTTTCCTTCTTCACGAGTTCATTCTGAAAAAATATGTCTAGTACGGAATTTGTGGATCAGACGTTACTCTTTCCAACAAAAACATTATTGTGATTGCTTTAGAAGTCAGTCATATGGTCCTACGACGCTTTACACTTTTTTTGCAACTCATGTTATATACACATCCAACAATCTTACATATAATAATAATAGATTCTTTTCTTTAAAAAACCAAATATTCTACTTCTGGACGAAAAACCACTTTCAATTGAAGTATTCCTAGTTATTCTTGTACCATCACTATTCCTACGACATCTGTTTATAGAATTGAAAGCAGAAAAAACAACTTAACTTTCGTTATACGAACGCAAAAAGAAACCTTCTTTCGTTTCTCTAGTAAACAAACAATTCTTTTTCTTGAGAAAAAAATATAAAATTTTAACTTCTCTTCCGACAACAATCATCTCAAGAACATCAGAATTTTATTATTTTCATCAAATGTCTCAATCATGTTCGATAAAGAAATGCACTCGTACAGCACGTGGATTATGTGATTGTTGCCGACAAAATCTTTGTTTACAACATTTAAATGAGCATAATACTTTACTTATTTCTCAACTCCATCCTTTAACTGATGAAATTAATGCACTTGAAGTTCGCCTCAAAACGTTAAACATTCAAAAAATAATTGGTAATAGTCATGAAAAACTTGAACAATGGCGTCAAGAGTGTTATAAGAAAATTGATTGTATTTTTGAACAAAAATGTCAAGAACTTCATCAACTTGTTAATGAAAAAGTTGATCAACAACGTGAAGAACTCAAGCGAATAAATTTGAAAATAACTGAACTTATCAATGCACAAGAAACAACTCGTCAAGATATTGATTTATTGATATCAACTATTCGTCAGCTCAAAACAAATATGAACAAAATTGAACGAACATGTTTTACGATCGATACTCGTCCATTATTAACAGATGACATGCTCGTTGTTATTAATAAACCAACTGAACATGAACTTGATCTATCAACTCTTTCGCCTGCATACACAACGATTCATCGCACTGAAGAAAGTTTTCCATCACTAACTAACAATGATCGATATTTTTTGATACATCAACATCCAGATTTATGTTTATTTGATAGAGAAATGAATATAGTCAAACAAACATTATGGTCTTACGGTGCAATTCATGACATGTGTTGGTCATCAACATTAGATCGATTCATTGTACTTGGAAAAAATAATATCTATCTCATTGACGAAAATACAATGACAGTTGATAATGTACAGACAAGCGAAGAACGATATTGGGGATCGTGTACATGTTCTGACACAGTTCTCTTTGCAAGCACAAATGAATATCCTTCATCTGTTTTGGAATTCACATTAATCCTAACAATCGAATTGATTAGAGAATGGAAATATCCTCTTACATGTATCAAAGATGAAGGTATTGCTGATACTGTTTACAATAACGGAAATCTAGCTCTAATGGTTATGAGTGAATCCAAAAAATCGGTGCGCATTGAATTGAGAAATGCAAATACATTCGATCCTATATGGTCACTTAAACTTGATATTAGGTGTGTCCAAAAAATAGCGTTTCGTTGTTGTTCACTCACTTTTAATGAATGGCTTATTATTGACTATGAAACTGGACGTCTGATTCAGATTACAAAAGATGGGAAAATGAAGAAAACAATTCAATATCATCCGACTCCCTGTCGTGCTATTCTGTTCGACTTTAATAAGCTGGCTGTATTGACTGTAGATGATGTTACGCTACATACAGTCAAAGAAAATGAATGACTACTTTTCATTTAATGTTTTGTTTTTGTTTTTCCAGGAAGAATACGAAATAAAACAATTAATCGCACTTTCTTGAAATATGGTGTAAGATTGATTTGATAATCTAGATCAGTTACATAATCTTAATAATATTTCATTAGAAAATGTGAAGAAGACAAGATACAAAATATTTGACAATGATATTTTCCTATAATTAAGATGAATTTATTTGTTGATCAAATAATAAGTAAACGTTACAGATGCTCATTTGACTCATTCACCATGAACCGATGGCTAAAATAAAGTTCAACAATCATGAAAATATCTATGTACTCAGAAGTTTTTATCACAAAAGTAAATTTTATAAAATCTTAATTACATATTGATGCGTGTATAGAACCATTCCTAGTTGCAAGAGCTCATACTGCAACTTCGCCATTTATTTCATTCGAAAAAGTCTATTTCGAACAAGTCCTTTTACAAAAAAAAATCTGTTCTTCATCTAATTTACTTGTATTGTTAATGTTCGTGATGAAACAATAAAACTTGTACCAATATCTGTACCATAATAAATTGTTGTAGAAAATGATGATGCACATATTGAATGAATTTCATTAGGAAACAAAAATGTCCATAAATATTTTCTATTAGCAATATTCCATAACTAAGATTCAAAAATTTAGTAGTTTAGAAAAAACAACGAAGACTGGTAAAAAAAATAAACTTAAACATAAAGATCACTTGAAGCAGCTAAGAGTAAATGAAATTTTTCAAATAATATTCCGCAAAGATCATGAATAGAATCTTTATGATCTTGAAATGATTTTATTGAAGAAATATCAGGATTTCGATCAAGATTTATTCTTTAACAAAAAAAAACATTGGGTTTTATTTACTATTCTTCAATATTTTGTCGATAAGTGAGATTATGTTCACCAACGAATATCAAACAATTGTGATCTGTATCAAATAATAAATGATTTATTGTTCGAATATGTCTTGAAATCATTATTAAATGTTGACCATCATCAAAACAAATAACAAATTCAGATTGTATATTTTAATTTTAAAATTATAATTTTCCTTTATAAAGCTTTGTTTTCTTTATATTTTCAAGATCTTTGTCTACGCATATAAAGAATTCAACTTGACTAACTTCCGTAAAAAAAGTTCAAACGCTTTGGACAAAGTGTTTTCAAGATATATTCCGTTTTCCATGGATAGTATTTATAAGAAGTCTTAATAGGTCGAGCTAGGCTGAAGAAAGCCGAGTTAGCCCATAATTTTTCTCTTAAAAAGTGTCCCATATGGGTCATTCATCTAATTGCATTGAAAAAATTTTTAACACATGAATGAGCAAGTATATTTCGAGTACTAGTAGTTGATGTATAAACAAATGTTCGGTAACATATCTAACAACTTGTAAAATCTTCAATGTTCTCGAATTCACCTGTATTTTATGATATTTTTTAGTTCGAAAATCAGAAACTTTCTAACATAAAGATGTGATTGTTTTTTATCTTTAACAAGAGTATATATCGATGGTTGTTGTTTCAAAAGAAATTTGATTCGTTCGGATATATACTGTTTCTTATGTGATAATAAACGAGTACCGATAGTTGAAGAAAAAAGCTTTAACAAAAATTGATGGTTGAGAAGATTCATGAGGAATAAAATTAAAATTAGAAAAAATGGTCTATGACGATGTTGTAATTGTGTTTTTCTTTGTTTTGCTTTAATATAACATATTTGCTAGTCATTGCAATATTGTTTTAGCAAATGCAAGACAATTGCATGGGATTTTCGAAAAAAAAAATTTCCTTTTAGGATTTTTATTAGAACCCTATGTACTATTGAAAGGTGGCATCTGAAGAAGTTCTCTCGTAAGTATAACTTTTTTTATCTTTATTGATCAGGTAAATTTGATTTTTTATTTACAAAGAAGAAAATTAAAAATATTTCTTACAACAGTGACCTCGATAATTTAAAGAACTATAAATTACATTTCAGCAATATGCGGTAAATTATTTTTATTTCGAATTCTTCATCGAAAGAGTTAAGTTAAATATTAAACTAAAGCAGTCATGCATTTTATTGAATTGTATGTAGATTGATCCCTTGCATAGTTGATACAGCTAGTGTATTTGTGTCCAATAAAGTAGCACGACATGGAGTTGGTTGATATTTAACTGTTTTCTTCAATTTCCCATCTTTCGTAGTCTGAATGAGACGTCCAGTCTCATGATCGATAATGAGCCATTCATTACAAGGCAGTGAACAACAACGAAATGCTAATTTTTGAGCCCATTTAATATCAAGTCGAAATGTCCAGATGTGTTCGAGTGTCTTTGCATATCTCAATTCCATACGCAACGATTTATCCAATACATTTACAATCACTAAAGCTAGACTTTCGTTATTGTAAGTAGTGCTAACAATAAATTCATCTTTGGTACATGTTCGAGGATGTTTCCATTCTCTAATCAATTCAATTGTTGGAAATAATGTAAATTCCATAATAGATGCTGCACGTCCATTTGTACATGCAAAGAGAACTGTATCAGAACATGTACATGATAGCCAATTTCGTTCTTCCATTGTATGCACATTATTAATTGACATTGTATTTTCATTAACAAGATAGATGTTATTTTTTCCAAGTACAATGAATCGATCTAATGTTGATGACCAACACATATCTTGAATTGCATCAAATGGCCATAGTACTTGCTTGACTATATTCATTTCTTTATCTAATAAACATAAATTTGGTTCTTGATGCATTAATAAGTATCGATCATTGGCAGTAAATGGTCGGAAACTTTCTTGAGCACGATGAATTGTTCTGTAAACAGGTGAAAGAGTTGATAGATCAAGTTTATCATCACTCGTTTTCTCTATAGAAATCAATGTGTCATCTATTATTAATGGACGAATATCAATTGTAAAACATGTTTGTTCAATTTTGTTCATATTTGTTTCAAGTTGATGAATAGTTGATGTCAATCGATCGACATCTTGACGAGTTGTTTCTTGTGTATTGATAAGTTCAGGTATTTTTGACTGTATTTGATTAAGTTCTTCTCGTTGTTGGCTAACTTTTTCATTAACAAGTTGATCAAGTTCTTGACATTTTTGTTCAAAAAAAGAATCGATCTTCTTATAACAATCTTGACGCCATTGTTCAAGTTTTTCACGACTATTACCAATTGCTTTGTGACTATTTAATGTTTCAAGACGATCACTAAGTGTATCAATTTTATTAGTCAAAGAATTTAGTTGAGAAATGAGTAAAGCATTATGTTCATTTAAATGTTGTAAACAAAGATATTGTTGGCAACAATCACATAACCAACGTGATGTTCGCATACATTGTTCCATCGAACATGATTGAGGCATTTTTCCAAAATAATAATATTCTAATATTCTAAAAATAATTTTAATTAGAAGAGAAATTAAAATATATGATGTTAGTTCTCAAAAAAAAAAAGAAAAGAAAAAGTGTGTTCTTTTTCTGAAGGAATAAAAACGGATTATTTTTATATTCGTATAACGAAATTTTAGATTTCTTTTTTTTTTCAACTTCAAATTCAATAAACAGATATCCTAAGAATAGTTATTGTACAAGAGTAACTATGAATACTTCAACTGAAGATGATCATTCGTCCGAAAATAGAAAATGATAAAGAAAAGGAATTTTTTTCAAATTATGCGTAACACTAAAGATTGCGTACACATATCGTATCGAAGTTACAACCTCGATAAAAAAAATTATTGAAATTACTTCAAATCAATTGAGTACTAAATAAATATGAACTAATTCATGATATTAAAAACAAAATATACACTTATAGTTAATTTTTCATTTTAAAAAAACATTTATATCATTTTTTCTTACGAATATATATAAAAGAAATTATTCAGAAAAATCCTCAATTTCAGAAATTAAACGTTCAGTAACAAGTGAAATTGTACAATAAAAACTATTCTAACTATAAGAATCTCATCTAACCAACGCACGTTGCATAAAAGTATCATACATAAAGAATATTTGATAAGTTTCGAGTCTTTTTTTTTTTGTATTTTTTAAATATTCTAAGGTGAATAAACATTGAGAATAAATTTTGAAGATTGTATCTAAGCGCAACCATCCAAATTTTATTCAGTAAACTACTATCATTAGTAAAAAGGTACATTATTGGAAAACATTTATTAAATATAAAAAATAATTTTAGCTGATGTATTCTATTGAGTTGAATGTTAAACTGCGTAGTACAAGGATAAAAAAAATTAAACTAATAAGAAAAAACGAAAAATACATTTCAATATTTCCATAATAAATTTATTTTTTCTCCGCTTGTCTAAGTGGAAAACATTATTTTGAATATATGTACAACTCTCCTTTGACTCGTCGACAAAAACAAACAAAAGCTACTACGCATATGATTAGATGAAAATATTTTTTAATGCAAATTCCGTTCCTGATAAATAGAAGACCGATATATCAGAGAAAACAAAGATGTGGTTACGCTTCAGTCGTTCGTATCAATGAAAACAAGTATTGTTTTTTGTTTACGCAGTATTTCATGTGCGCCGTTATTTTTTCATTGTATTATTGTTAAGCTAATTGTTCTCCTTTACACAATACTAAATACTAATATCTAATATTCTAAATTTATTCTTGATCATAGAATCTTCGACAACTTTCATCACTTATTCATGTCAAAACAAAAAACCAAGAACTTTATTGATTCTAAGAAAGCTAGACCGTCAATTACATCAACTAAAGATTCTTCAATAAAACCTGTTCAGAAAAAAAAAAAACGTTTTCTTAACTGATCTTTCTGCGTTACTACGTAGTTTTTTTTTGCGAGCCTTGTCTGACTGAGTGTTGCACTCAAAACTTGTTATATAGTGCAATTAATAGATTCTAATGTTTGAATATAAACAATGAATCTCAAAAAAAAAACATCCTTATCACATCTCGGCGATCGTGTTCTAAGGTCGAATGTTGATTTTACTGATTTATCTACTACAGATAACTATTAAAATAAACTTTGGTTTTGGTCAATAATTTCTTCTAACATTTATCGTAAAAAAAATGATATCAGTGGTTTTGTAAGGACATTTCCATAGAAACTGAACCACACGTACAAAAAATGATTTCTGACTTTCGATGAAATTTTCAGAGCTTGTTATAATCATTTTGATTAAAAACAAAACTTATAGTTAAAATTAAAAGCTCTATAAATCATAAAAATTTCATTGAAATCGGTGTACACATGGTTGAGATCTAATGGAAATAGGGCAAAACCAAAAAATGAACTATAAGTATATCTAGTTTAGTTTTAATATCATGAATTATGATCAATGTTTTTATTTTAGTATGTAGTTGAATTGAATTAATGTGGACACAATTCTACGACAAAGTTATAAATTCGTCAAAATTGTTGACGATGTTACAACTTTGTCGACTAGTGTAACTTCACTACGATATATCTATATATATATATATAGTTTTAATTTGTATACCTCATTATGATTTCTCTATGTCAACAAATGATGTTTTTATTGGATATGTGAAAGTTAAAATCTTGATGAATAGATGTCTTTTCGGAATAACTATGATAATGATAATCAATTGTATGGTTGTTATATAATATTATTAGAAGATTCGATTATATTTTAAACTAAAAAAAAAAAGATAAAAAAACCTATCATATTCATATAAGTGTAATATTTCCTTACTATTAAAATCAGTGTGATATACACTAAAACGTATGTCCACGTATGAAAAGCCATATAAATACATTCATGGATGAATGCATTGTATTATTTAATAATATTAGGCGATTGTATGTATTGTCTTTTTTTTATTTTTTATTTTGCCATGATAAAAGAAGATATGAGTAGTGCGCCCCTCTCGGTGTCGCCAAACTTTTCGGTCACGGTCGCGGTCACGAACATGACCTGCGATTGACGTGAATCCTGATCAAAGTTTCGATAAAGGCAAAAACAAATAACAATTATAAGATTATTAACCAAGGACACGAAAAGTATATTCTTAGTTAATTCGATTCTCTTCAATAGAATAGTAACATGTACATGTGTTTTCATTTAACTGTATTTGTAACAAAATATGTAGTTTTGTTGTGTTTAATGCTTGTTAGGATATTTTTATTACAGGAAATATTGGAATGTAAGAAAATTTAAAATTT